CGACTTTTTAGAGAGAACATACAGACTACCCATCAAGTTAGTAAGTAGTTTGCACACCAATGCACACAACCTAGATTTCATAGGAGTAGGAAAGAGACCCAACAGTACCCCAACAGGACAAACAATACCATGCACACACACATGGGCAACCCTTAGGTGCACGAGACTTACCTGAGTGGCCCGGGCTCTGAGATGAAGTATAACTCACCCCCCTTCCTCGTATGGTCTCCCTCACCCTAATTGTTGCCCTGCCGATGTTGAAGAACAAAGTACCAACTTGCAGTCCGTAGATAAAGAATGGCTACCTCCCTCAAGATTGCCTACTTGAGAGAGGCCCTGAAGTCACCTAGTGTCTCCCTTAGGTCAGATTTCAGGTGTGAATACCTCTTATTGTCACCTCTCTCATATTGTCGCATAAAGGCTTCTTGATGTGTTTCGCCACCACAAGCTCACTCTCAATCAACTTGGTCAGGTCTTGTGTCGACCCAACACGGCCTAACCAGGTGGGGGCAGCTTCCCCAATCCACACGGTCCCACTTCCCACTTCGGACCAACCCTAATCTATGTATCACCCGCGGTCATAACCGCGGGCCCGCTGACCGCATGCGATCAGAATCATGGCCACGAGGGCCAGCCATGGGGATCAGCTGTGGGGGCCACGTGCGCTCGCAAGCCCCTGACATTTCTAATTCCTAGGATAATAGGCGGGAAAAAAAAATGGGGTTGTAGGGTTTGAAAAACCCTACATCCTCTTTTTTTTTTGTGTGATTTAAAAAAAATAGAAAACGAAAAAAACAAGTATTAAAATCAAAAGAAACATAATAAAAAAGGGATTTTTTTTTTTTTCATTTTTTTCTTATAGCTGGTGGGATAATCATTTTGCACCTAGGCTACCAGCCGGGCTGGCCGGGTCCCAGGTGGCCAGCCCGTGCAACGACCAGGGAAGGTCCCAGCAAAAAACACATAAAAATAGAAAACTCCAAAAAATCCGAAAACAAACTATGTTATGCAGAAAAATGAACTGAACGAGTTTTGTCCCAGAGTCGCATCAAAATTCTTCACCAAATTTAGAATAAAAAATAAATTTTAAAAATAATGTTTGTATTTTTATTTATTTTCTAGGCTACCAGAGTGTGTTACGTGCATCCAACCATGCAAACTTCAGCGTAGTAGCAATACAAACATCGATCCACAACACATCGCCGAATGACCAAGAGAAAGAAGAGGAAGAGGAAGAAGAAGCAGACAAAGAAGGAGAGGAGGAAAAACATCAGGATAAAAAAAGTTTCCCGAACGCGACTGCAAAAAATCAGAATGAATTACAGACGACATGACCCGACTAGTTTCAGCTGGCCACCAGCAGCACTCGCCAGGGGTCTTCGTTGGTCGTGAGGTGTCTAGCTAATATAGACGTAACTCTTTAATATCCTGTGTTCTAACTTGAAATCGTAGCGACTCAATGACCCTAGAAAATGTCAAGAATAGAAACATCTACACAATTCCACGTACCGCAGTTGAGGCCGAGTTTCGGACCTCCGACCTACCTCCAAAACAGTCGCTGGGACTGGAACCCAGTATCAATGACCAAAAAGCATATACCTTGGGACTGAACCCGCGGGTTGATACCGGTTTACAACTCTACAGACCCCGGGACTGAAACCCGCGGGTTAATACCAATTTTCGAACAGCGGGACTGAAACCCGCGGATCATATCATGTGGTCCATTAAGTAGACCCCAGGACCAGAAACCCTGACTCCCGGTACCTAAACAAACTGCAGAACCCGGGACCATCGCCCACCCGAAATGTGTTGTGTTTCATCGTGTCCATAGCAATAGACCCCACAACAAGCCTACTGAAAAAACTATGAGCTATCTCCATGCCCGATTGTAACAATAGGAGACAACATTACTCCCTCATCTCATAAAACGTCCCTAATTCGTAAGGATTGAAATCCAATGCTTCCATTAATGAGCAAACTTCCGCGAGATATTGATCAGAGCTTTGTCAAAGTAGCAATCAGGATAATCACGCAACCATAGTTCGTGCTTCAGCATGAATAAAAAGGGAAACTCTAGTCATGGAATGGAGGTATACGTTCTGGCACGGTGCGGAAAGGAACCAATAACAACAAGCTTCTGCTGTTTGCACGAAAAAGATAAGAAGTCTTGGATGCTTTGGAAAATAAGTGGACAATTGACCTCGCCTTCCTGATTCTTGTGTTTTGCCATACATACTACTCTGCAAGGATCAGTCAAAATCATTATCCCACATCCAATAAACTCCCACTCCTACGACACGTTAGTCTGTACAAGATTAAGTGTCTTATCATAATAAGATCGAAACTCCTCCATAATTCGATCAGCCACTGTCTGAGAGAGATGATGTGACACCCGAAATTTGATGAAAAGAGAAACATCATCCACAATCCTGCATCCATACGCCAGTTTTCTTTGCATCTTCAAGCCTTAGGAAGATAAAAAAGAAAATTAATTAAAAGCACAAAGTAAACCAGCCAATGCAGGGCTTGTCGTATTCCCCATGGGAATTTCCATGATCTATCAAAATAATCTCCCTGAGACACGGAGATACGTATTGCCCATATCATACCGAACGAATTCAAAAATCTTTGAAAAATTTATCCGAACCCAACCAGGTTCACCCTTTCCTCTTGTCAATCTGACAACTCGGTCGTGCATGCGAATCAACACTGTAGAGAAACCTTTGATGATCTTGTAATCCAAGATCCATCGAACATCGCGCAAAATAGAGAGATGAGGTAAGTTAGAAAACATCTCCTTGATGTCAAAAAATCCTCCCATAAGCAATTCGCCATTCTTCAATTTCTTGTTAAGACCATCAATCCTCTTCATGATATCGGCGGTGCTTTTCATATTGAAATGCATATCCTCCGGTAATCTCCATAACAAATAGTTAACCGCTCTCGCAACACGTCTTCCTCCCAGAACAGACCCATCCAAATGTGATGGGCAAATTGGACACTACCAATTCACATCCGTGTGTTTCGGCAAACAGTAGTCGTTCCCAAATGTGTCGTGTCTGTTCCATTTTCCAAACTTACAAAATTTCTGCTCTTCATACTGCGCCTTACTACTAGCCAACACATCAGTTTCTGGTTCAGACGCGAGAATAAAAGAATTGTTCTCAAGAAATACTTGTCGCATACCATCACCATATACCAGAGGGCAGCAAACAAAGGCATCTCTGAGATTATGGTTGGTCCAGAGGGCAACATACCAGGTTGCATAATCGAGGCAACTGCTGGTTAACTACCCCTTCAGAAAACCCCATTCACTCAGAGTCAAGTGATATAACCGGTTTCCTATCAAGAAGGCATGAGGCAAAGATATCATCGCCGGACGACTCCAACCACAATGGGGGAAAAAAATTATAGGATTTGAAGGAGCCAAGGATTTGTCGTTTGAGGTGAGACAAAGGATTCATCTCCACTGGTCGCAGCACATTCTTTGAGTTCTGCATACAACGGGGAAACAAGTCAACTAAATTAACGCGAAACAAAACATGCCCATCAACCCGAGGGAACGATGCATCAGCATCGTAGCATCGACATGCATAGTCACCAGACTCACCACTCCTACCCACTTTCCGAAAGTTATGCACCAAATCACGGTTTAATCACCCACTGATTTGTTCTTACACCACACCGCACACATTCGTCTGACTAATATGTCCTTCCATGTTGGTTCGATGTCTAATTTGTGAATCAGATGAGCAAATACCTTCCGTATGACCGTCTTACAGTACCGATCATCATAGACCACGCGAATTACTAACGTCTGTCTGATGTGAATGTCGAACTGCTTACAAATCACACTAGAAAGAATCATACGTAATCTCCTACAAGTACATTTGTCTTGAAAACACCGAACTACAAAAAAAACATAAACCAACTGAATTCCCAAGAAACCAACTGCCTTTGTGCCATAGGATGACTGAGCAACTGAACCAAACTAGGTTTCAACTTCAAAGATCTGTTACAAAATGGGACAACCGATTCAAACACTACTACAGCGCTGTCAACCAGCCATCCTTTCGAACACCTGAACTGGTCTCTGTCACCATGGAATGCAACTATGGACGACCCATAACATCTGCGAAGTACCTTCCACTTATCTACCAACAACGGACCACCACGGCAGACAACCACCACCCGATCAATCGAGCAGTCTCGACAGTAATTAAGTATGCGAAGCAGACTAGAAGATGGAACTCCACACAAGGCATGAAAAGATAACACAGAACTATGGACAACACGAGTCACAGCCAACCCGGATCTCTTTTTTCTCCGCAACCTTTCTCTTTTTTCCAATCGTCATCACTTACCTTTCCTAGGCCGATCCTTGGAATTCAATGTCGCTGAAAAGAATCGAATGTAAAAACGTTCAGTATCGGCCAAATCTTCATTCGTGCAACCACAAATAGGAATCGCAACGTATCTCTCTACACCGCATCGACGAAGCCAACAGTACAGGCGTTCATTCATCCTTCCCTTACTACTTAACGTATGACTACAGGTCCGATACACGTGCTCTGCCCATCTAGTACCCAAATCTCGAGTCGTACTACCCACGTATAGGTGCCGATGCCAGGGTGAGACCAATACATACACAAGTGGACCACCGATGACTTCTCCATCAACCCACTACTTTAGAAAAAGCAAGACGTCAACTTTTGTGCCCAAGAAATTGAACCACATAAGATCAAAGCAACTACACCACTCTGAAAAGAGCATCAACCTTCTTACATCGAAGATTAATAATAGAAGTGGAGCAAAATCGAACACAAGCATTAGCTATCAACCACAAACGCGTCACGCTCGGGAGGGACCCTAAGAATCTACGGAGTCCCTCCCATCATCCTTACTGTCATCACCGGTATCCTCTGACACCTCGTGAACAACCGCTTTCTTTTCGAACGCCCGTTTCACTCGTTTCTCGATAATATCGCTGATCGTCTTGGGTATGTTACTGTACTTGATTCCTTCTTTCATACAAATTCCCACCAAGTTGTCTTTCTTCTTGTTGCGTAGTTCTTTTCGAGCTTCTCTTATGAAAATGTCCCGTTCAGATTCGGGATCTTGCTCTTCACATACACGACCCTTCTGCTTTCCACGTTCATTCTTCGCAACCGAACCACCTGCCGCATCCAAACGTTGTTGGAAGACTGACTTTGGTGCCTTTCGTTCTGCATCACGCTTAGCAAGCTCTTCTTTCAGTCGAGCATTCTCCTGTTCGGCCTCGCGTCGCCAGTTCAACTCTTGCAGTCACATCTCCTTGAGAGCGTTGACTTCCAGCGTATGCAATTGTGCCAACTGAGTTGGGTCAATAGAGGGTCTCTCCAAGGTTGACTTGCAGGGTGTTGTTGAGGGCATCTTCAGTTGAGACGATGGAGACTTGGCCAACCAGCTCCACTTATTACCAGATCGAAGCGCCTGCTTCTTCCAATTTTCTGCCTCTTGCAGCGCATGTTCGTGTTGTTGTTTAACCGCCTTGAGTGACTCTTCCAACGACTCCACACGTTTGTTAACCACCGCCACCATCTCAAGTTTCACCTCCATATCCTTATGCTCTTGCATCATCTTAGCAAGCAGTGTATCATCGCAAATAGGAGGTCCACTCGTCGAAGCACCATGGTTCCTGCCTACCGTACTCTGCGCCAATTGTAACTTCTCAATTTCCTTCAATAGCTTCTCCATCGTAGGCTCACCGTTATTACCCCTGCGCTTCTGACCACGTACTACTTCGTACATCTCATCTAGTCTAGCATTCATCGCGTCGTGGAACTTCTTGTTGAGAGCTTCCCTTTCCCTTTTTTTATTCAATCGACGTTCTTCTTTTTCCTTCTCCTTACTTACGTTCTCTTTTTCTTCTCTATGTGGTACTTCCTTCTCTATAGCCGCATCGTACCATGCTTTCATCTTTCCCACAGAGTCCTCAAGTACGGCGACACGCCGGCTCAAATTGGTCCACCCTGTTCCTTTAGAGTATTGACCAGTGCTGCTACCAGATAAAACGCCAACATTCGCCTGAAGAGGAGGAGGAGGAGGAGGAGGAACAAACGTCGGAGGGGGTGGAAGAGCAGGGATAGGAGTCTGTCCAATAGTAACAGCAGTACGATTCACGTTCGTCATCGCGGTGTTATGCGGGCACCATCGAGCGAAATGATTCGGATCTCCGCAGTTATAGCAAGTGCGTACACTCGAAGTGGAAGTCATCGTGGATGTCAACAGCAAAAGGTACGAAGCCACACGTAACGTAGTCTAACCTCTACGACGGTTACTCTGTGTATGCAGTGTGTCAGGTGCATCCAACCATACAAACTTCAGTGTAGCAGCAATACAAACATTGATCCACAACACATCGCCGGATGACCAAGAGAAAGAAAAGGAAGAGGAAGAAGAAGTAGTAGTAGAAGAAGAAGAAGAAGAAGAAGACGAAGAAGAAGAAGAAAAAGGAGAGGAGGAAAAACATCAGGATAAAAAAAGTTCTCCCGAACGTGACTGTGAAAAATCAGAATGAATTACAAACGGCATGACCCGACTAGTTTCGGCTGGCCGCCACCAGCACTCGTCAAGGGTCTTCGTCGGTTGTGAGGTGTCTAGCCAATGTAGACGTAACTCTTTAATATCCTGTGTTCTAACTCCAAATCGTAGCAACTGAATGACCCTAAAAAATGTCAAGAATAGAAACGTCTACACAATTCCACGTACCGCAGTTGAGGCCGAGTTTCGAACCTCCGACCTACCTCCGAAACAGTCGCTGGGACTTGAACCCAGTATCAATGACCAAAAAGCATATACCCCGGGACTGGAACGCGGGTTGATACCGGCTTACAACTCTACAGACCCCGGGACTAAAACCCACGGGTTAATACCAACTTTCGAACATGCAGACCCCGAGACTGAAACCCGCGGATCATATCATGTGGTCCATCAAGTAGACCCCGGGACCAGAAACCCTGAGTCCTGGGACCTAAACAAATAGTACCACAATGGCCTAGGACCACTTGCCCGACCGAGCCAAAAATAAATAAAAAAATAAAAAATGAAAAATATTTCTTAACTTTATTTTTTATTTTCAATTTGGTACAAAATTTCGATGTGACCCTGAGAAAAACGTTGTTCAGTTTATTTTTCTGCATAACATAGTTTATTTTTCTGCATAACATAGTTTATTTTTAGGATTTTTTGGATTTTTTGTTTTTGGCTAGGACCTTTCCTGGTCCTAGCACGGTCGGGCCGTCCGGGAAAATAGGGTGACCCGGCTGGCCCGGCTGGTAGGCTAGTTTTTTTTATTTTTTTGGCCCGACCGGGCAAGTGACCTCGGGCCACTCTGATAGCCTAGTGTTGCACATGTTTCTTTGATTCTTTTTTCTTACCTACATATGAAAATATGAAAGGGAAAAAAAAAAAAAAAAAAAAGATAATAATGAAAAGAAAAACCAAAGCCATTTTCTTTTGTTTTTCATTTTTTTTGTTTTTGCTCGACACACACACTGATTGATTGATTCATTGATTGATTGACTGTGATTGGTTGATTGATTGATTGATTGATTGTTTGTGTGTGTTTGTGTGTGTGTGTGTGTGTGGGGGGGGGGGGGGGGTTGTGTACGTAACACAGCCATCCCACGTAATGTGGGAAACAGGACAGTACCCAAGAATATCCATTAGTACATAGCTTATTTCTAGCTATGGATGACGCACGTTACGCGGACAGTCTAGGTTAGGGGTCATAGTTAACAAAGGAGCAGAGATTAGTATGTTAATATTAGTATGTTAGGGATTAGGAGAGGGCAAAAAGCCCAACCATAGGGGGGGTGCACGTCCTTAAGCGTGCTTTTCGCCGCCTAGCACCCATAGCAGCTCATCAGAGGGGTTAGAATTAGTAGAGGCTCCTGTTAGCGTTCGGGGTAGGGGGTGGGGGATAAGCAAGTAAGGCGTCATAGGTTTCAAGGTGGTACTGGGTTACAGGTTAGCGGGTTCGTACCTGAGCTGTCATGGCTGGTGTCGAAGGGGAGTCAACCGCCGCCATAGTACGAGGATCGTAGCGCAGCGTGGTGTTAGCGGGCTGACGTAGTAAGCAAATTGCTCAAGACACCGTGGCGTGTCAGACTGCTTCCTTGAACCAGTATCAGTATGTGAGCAGTTCTGCTCAAGTAGGGAAGATGCTGATGCAAAGGCTTCGCGTGTGCCATAAGTGCAAGCCATAGGAGTTTCGCGTGGTTGGTCATTTTCCGGGGTATGCTAAAGGGGTAATCATGTGGGTAGCGAGGATCGTAGGGTGCGTGCGGTATCTGTATTATTGGTGCACAGGGTGGGAGAGGGCAAGTTAGTGTCGAGATCGCAGGCAGCGGGGACGAGCTGGTAGATCAGGAGGGGAGAATATGCGGTTTGCTAGCGGGGTTGGGGTGGTCGGTACGTGTTATATGGGCAAATGTAGGTGGGCATAGGCAGGTTGGCTACATTTTTTGTTTTTTATCTTGTAGCTTATTGTTTTTATGGGGGAGACGGGCTATGGTGGTAATGTGCTGCGTTGTTGGTTTGTTTTGTAGTGTCGCTTCGAGGTGGTGTGTCTTCTGTATGCTTTGCCAGGTGTAGTTTGACCTGCGGTGCGAGCGTATAGGTCGAGCTCTGCGTGGGGAGAAGAAGAAGCAAGGAGCTTGTTGGGGGTATCTCTGCATGAGCTTGGATAGGTGGCGGGTAGCTGTGTAGTGGAAAGCCTTGCCCAGTAGGGGGGATATGGGGTATGCTTGCAGCTGCGCTTTGCGTCGGTGTAGTTGTTGCTGGGAATTAATCAGGGGTAGTGTGTATGCTGTCTCATAGTGTCTTGCAGACGGTCATTATTCCGTCGTAATTGGATGCTGTGCGGCTATGTCCGTACTCGTTTTTCGTCGTATCTACTCTTCCTTCCTCGTGCGCGTGTTTGTATTCTTGTGTGTCAGCTGTGTCGTTTCGGGGCGGTGCATTAGTGGTCGAGACTCGTGGAAGTTTGCTTTTGTTTTTTGTTTTCTTGTTTTTTTGTTTTATTGCCCGTCTTTCATTCACTTTTTTTTGTTGTTATTTTTAATTCCATGTTTCTATTAGGCAGGAAGTTGGTGACCCATAACTGGTAGGTCTAGTTGTGTGGTACGTATATCAAAGCTTTGTCAAGCTCAAAAGTAGGCGTGTATTATGTTATCGGTGGGTTAGGACCGGGGCTGTTGGCGATCGTTTGAAGTTTCCTTTGTTTTATTGGCAGGTTAGGTACTTACCTTATTTAAAGTTTTAATTTTAATTATTATTTTATTTCATTTAGTTTTATTTATTTACTTTATTTATTTTTTTAATTTTCTTATTTGCTTATTTTCTTTTTGGATTTCTTTTTTTTATTTTGATTTACTCATTCATTAATTAATTTTTATTATATATTGCTTTATTTATTTATTTTATTTTATTTATTTATTTTATTTATATCTTTTTTATTATTTATTTTATTATTTAAAAAAAAAATATTATTATTATTATTATTATACTATTATTATATTATTATTTTTTAATTTTTATTTTCTAAGATTACTTACTTAATTACTTTTAATATTATTAAGAAATGAATATGTTGTGTGTGTGTGTGTGTGTGTGTGTGTGTGTGTGTGTGTGTGTGCGCGCGCGTGTGTGTGTTATACTGTATGCATAGCACAATATGCTATGAACCCCGTAATAAAAACGGCCTGGTATGCTATCACGTATTAAATTCACTGCAACCTGGGGAATCAGCATTCCTTTCCAATCATGCACAAAATGAATAAGCAGCATTCACATGTTTTCGCTACCATTTATCATATTCATGAGCAAGGCATAGGAGAAGGGATGAAAAGACAAAGAAAGGGAAAAAAGGAACGGAAGAAAGCAATCATATGAGGCACAGTTAAACGTGGTAGTGAGCAGATGATGGATAAAACCTCCGAGTGCTCCCTTCTCAGCAAAAAAATATACAGGTCTGCCAGAAACGTTCCCCAAGTGAAATGAACAGCTCCGAGATAGAACGAATTCCCGCATCTCCTAGCGACAACTGTATAAGTGCTCATCATCACGATCCGACGCGATTGCAGAGAAGGGCATTATGGTGCCAGTGCAGGCTCGGCTCAACCTTGAACAACCAACTAACTCGCAATTTTAGGAAACCCCCTCCTCCATTAGCTTAGCAATGAACTGCCCGACCAACTTTAGCAACTCCCCAACCAGAGCACCATTATTTGCCGCGCATATCCCTGAGCTGGGTCTAAAATTTGAAGCCGTCAAGCATCCTGTACCCCCTGTTCTCCCAACATCAAGAAAGACAAGAAAAGCCAAGAAGCTAATGCAAATGGCAACGCAAGAGACAATCATGCACAGAGCTACTTCTGATTCCATTAGGCCTACTGAAAAAAGGAAGGATACGAAGCTATGGCTCGTGATCCGTTAAAAAAGAAGACAAAAGAACGGGGGAAGAAAAAACAAAGCGAGAAGGACAGACCCCTTGCTTGCTCTGAAGCCTGCAGAGGAACTTCAGGGTCGATGTTGCACCGTATGCTCGTATCCTATATTCAGAACAAAACGGGGAGCCACCATAGCCATCAGTCGAAGAGCCCCCCCTCCACCCTACAAGAGCGCCTAATTCCTGGGCCGAAAAAATACGTTGTTATCCATATTATTCGTCCCATGTCCTATCTCCTTGCAGCATCATTCCCGAAGACATCCATCATCAGATCCTTAACCCTCATAGGGATACTGTCTGAAACCACCATACCACCTGAATCCCGTAGGTATCCTCGTGATCATCTCACTCAGCATACTGCATCCCAAACAGCAGCATCCACCCTCATCTATGCGATCGTACCCAGCCGCCACCTTGATCAACAGATCTACCGTAGACGATCAATCCATCTTAAACATAAGCACGCACACGCTCCAGGAGCCGACGAGGGAGGGAGAATAATGCAGTTGTGCGCGGAGAGACAGCGGAGGCAGAGGTGCGACCGATTACACCACTCGAGGGCCACTTGGCGTCTCCGCCTTGAGTCAGGCACTCTCGTACAGCCAGGGGAATGCAGAGGAGGTGGCGACTCCCTAAAGCACTTTTCACTGCTGGGCCACACGGCAGATCGTCAGAGGGTACCTGCAAACAACCACAAATCAAGCCACACACAGATCATACCATAGAGAACGAGACGGAGGGGTGGAACAATACCACTTCTTCATTTGGTTCCGGCAGGCCCTCCAAGCCGAA